CTATCTGACATTTTTTTAAGGCCATGAGACCAGGAACCGAATTTTTTATCTGCTCTATCAAAATCGCACGATTATTTTGAGTCGTTATCAAGATATGCAAAGAACTGCTTTCGAAAATCTTGGAATGATGTGAAACTCAAAACCTTCGACGTCAAATTTCTCAAAACTAGATATTAAGCAGATAGATCTTTGTATGTAATTCTAGGGTAGTGACTCATCTATTTGTTACGGGTGGGTTAAGCTCTGACTTGAATGCACTGATTAAAAACTTGTCTGTTGAGTAATCGGCAGATTTTGATCTGTATATTATATCTCTCTGTGCCTCTAAAAGCAACTCCAAGCCGCACGTCTCTTTCTGTTGACCTCACGTTTTGTTCTTGCCTCCTCCATACTTATTGCTTGTTCTAAATATTCACATTCTGTCACTTTGACAATGTTTGTGTTTTCTACAGTGCGTAGTTCGTCGTGTGTTTATTGATTTCATCTTGGTGGACTTCAAGGTTTATTTTTTTTTCTTTCGTATAAATTTGTGACATTAAGTTTAATTTCCATTAGTTGTTCATTTTCAATAAATTCACGTCATTCGTAAATCTCAAATCTTTCCGATGTTCTCTATCTGTTGAAATAACTTTACTGAGCAATATTTTTTTAATAATGTATTTTGATTGATTGATTGAGTGAGTAGGTGCTTTACGGCACGGCACTATCGACTCAATATTACCGTCTATTGCTGCTGTGAATACTTTGGGTGATATGAGGTCTCCTTGCCTCATCCCTTTTCGATGGCGATTTTTTCTGACGCGTAGTTGTCGAATTGGATTTGAGCTGACCCCTCTTGAAAAATGTTGATCAATAAATGGATGTATTTCTCGTTCATAATATTCATTTTTCTGAGAGCGGAAAAATTTTCAAACTGTTCGATGAAATAAAAGGCATTTTCGTAATCAATAAAACCAACGCATAGCACTCTTTCCATTGGCTTCTGGAGTACTCTTGTCAACATTTGATAAGAAAAGGGGGGTAAATTTATTGATTTGTAGTTTTTATGTCTCTTCTGTCTTTCTTTTCATTATTTTTGCCCCTCTCTCTCCCCCACCTCTCCCTCTCTCGCCAATATTCCGGAATTGTTCAAGTGTGTATAATGTCTTTGAATCCTTTGGTTATATCAGAGTTATGTTGCTATTAGATTGTCCTCCCACCTTTAGAATGCCACTAGTTAGACCGTCTTTGTCAGGCGCTTTCATCTTTGTTTCATCTTTTTCAAAAACATCTCTCTCTCTCCCTCCCACCCCTTCTCTCTCTC